AAATATATTAAAACACGCGTGAAAATGCCTCCTTTTTTAAAACACTTGCAGTCCGTACTTTATCAAATATAAGAAAGTCGGCTGTCGCCTCGTGTTTACATTCGTGTTTTAAATCTTACTTAACATATTTTAAATCATTTAGATTGCAGACGAGAGCTTCAAGGGCGCTTTGGACAATTCGTGAGTCCAAATTATGCAATATTCCCCAACAAGTATCCACACGACAATCGTTGCGCATGGAAGATTACTGGACCCGCAGGAACAAAGAAGATTGTCTTGAAATTCCACAGTTTTGATCTTGAAGATGATACTAAATGCAGGTGAGATTATTCACGTCTAAACTAACTTTATTTAAACTGGCTTTATATATCAGTTCAGTTCAAAACTGTTCTCTTTAGAGATCCAATGAGGATCATATCTTGTTGATCCAGTGTTACTACAGGAGAAAACTTAATCTAAACTTCATTAAGTTCATTTATACTGGATACCGGCTTTATCAGTTCTAAACTGTTCTTGCTAGAGGTCCAGTAAGGGTCATATCTTATTGATCCAGTGTTACTACACGAGGAAACCCAAATTAAACTAACTTTATTTCTACTGGATAACCCTATCAGTTCTAAACTGTTCTTCCTAGAGGTCCAGTAAGGATAATGTCTTATTAATCCAGTGTTACTACAAGAGGAAACCTATAGACTAAACTAACTTTATCTATACTGGATAGCTCTGTCAGTTCTAAACTGTTCTTCCTAGAGGTCCAGCATTAAAGGATTATCTCTTATTGATCCAGTGTTACTACAGGAGGAAACCTAAAAACTAAACTAACTTTATTTATACTATATCATATCTAAACTGTTCTAACACTTTAACAATGTGCGTGTTTTACTAACCATTATTAATTAATGAAGCAGTTTCTCAGTTGAAGTTCAGTCAGATTATTTTGTTAATACGATTTTTTTCAACTCTTTTACAGCAAAGATTTCATTCGAATATCTGACAAGAACGACAAGCAAGTAGGACCACGCTATTGTGGATTGTATAATTGGGGATTTGGAGTGAAGATTAATGGTGATGTGGCCAACGTGCACTTCTCATCGAACGCTTTGATCGCAAGGAAAGGTTTTAATGCTTCGTTTGAGGCCATTTTGATCGAAAGTAAAGGTAATAAGATATAATAAGATAGAAGAGATTACCTTTACTAGACATTTCTAGGGAGAATAATCTAGAAAAATAGAGCTGTTCAGTATAAGTAAAGTTAGTTTAGTTTAGGTTTCCTCCTGTAGTAACACTGGATCAATAAGAAATGATCCTTACTGGACCTCTATAGGGAGGACAGTTTAGAACTAATAGAGCAATCCAGTATAAAGTTAGTTTAGCTTAGTTTTATATTATCAATCGTAAAACACGTTTACTTTCAACATCTTCATAGATGACTGTGATTTCGACAATGGTCTGTGTTCTTGGGCAAATTCGAAGATGGATGATTTCGATTGGACAATAAAATCAGGAAGGACTCCGAGTTACTTTACAGGACCGTCTGGCGATTATCTAGAATTAGGTAAATATAGAAAACAGTTACACTTTTGCACGAAAAATATCCTTCTCATCAAGAAACATTCCATAACCTTCACAAGTAATGGATCAGAAAAACACAAAAGAAATTATGATAGTGAAGGAGCTTGTATATCTGATACAAAGTCATGTCGATTTCCACAATCACTAAGTTCATATTTTTTTACCAAATATCATTCATGTGTTTAAGATTATATATCTGATACAACATGATTGCTCATGCCTGTGTATAATACTTATATATTCTCTCTGGCAAAAGGTAAATATGCGTATATCGAGTCAAGCTATCGTCGAAAAGGTGATCGAGCACAGCTCACCAGCAAGCTGATGTCTGGTGCAAAATGTATGCAGTTTATGTACAACATGAACGGTATTTACATGGGAAGCATTAACGTCGTTCAAGCTTATGGCCAAATAAGGAAGGTTTTGCTAAACATCTCTGGGAATCGTGATCGTCCTTGGCACAAAGCAGTCGTAAATATCTCTGATGTGGTGCTTCCATATAAGGTAGGAAACATAGGCTACGTTTATACTATACCAGATAGCTGGCCGTAGCGGCGCGAAAAAGCACCTATCTGATACGGAATGTACAACTTTCAGAAGCTGAGCGAAACAACATCTCTCCGTTGCAATAATTCCTCACATCGCTACAGACAGCTATCCGGTGCATGCAGTGTAAATCTAGTCACCAGTATTTGCCTTACTGTATAATACATGTATTTTATTCTATTTTTTCTTCATAAAGTAATAACTCTTTTAGATAATCATAGAAGGTGTGGTGGGCGATGGTTTCACAAGCGATGCAGCAATAGATGAAATCTCATTCACTTCGGGTCACTGTCCAAGCCAGACATGTGGGGATTACCTCACAGCACCGTATGGTGTCATTGAAAGTCCCAACTACCCTGGATATTATCCTGACAATGCTGTATGTGAGTGGAAGATTAATCCCCTGCCGTATTACGGCAACGTCGGTGTACTTTTTGAGAAATTTGATGTGGAAAATTCAACTAGCTGCAGGTACTTAAGCTAGTTTTATGGTATACTGAATAGCTCTATCAGTTTTAAAACATTTTCTCAAGGAATCCAGTATAAATCTCACAACTTGTCAACAAGATGTGTTCGCAACGGGCTTATAGCAAGCTTGTCAACAAGTTGTAACAATGCTGTTATTTCATCAAGTTGCTACAAGGCTGTCACTCACAACTTGTTGGCAAATATTTGAATTGCAGGACGATAGCAAGTTGTTGGAACAGCTTGTAACAAGTATGTTAAGCTCAATAACCTTGTAGCAAGTTGTCAACAAGCCGTTGATCAACAAGCTGGGAACAAGCAGTGCGAACACATCCTGTTGACAAGCTGTTGGAACAAGTCTGCCGCACGTTTGTTACAACTTGTGCGTTTTTACGTACAGATGAAATACATACGGCAATACTATTCAACTTTTAACACAGTATAACACTCTTTTGTTTTTTGAACCTTTCAATATATAAATCTAAAGCAGAAATCTTGAAACAGAATACTTTTTGGACATCATTCAATTAGGAATGACAGTGTTCAGATATCAGATGGCTACAAAACACAGGTTGGTGAGAAACTCTGCGGTTCTCTACAAGATTTACAAAGCAATTCAGTTCGCGTGAAAGGAGCTTCTGCGTACGTGAAATTCACGTCGGATTCTATTGGAGCTAAGAGTGGTTTTAAGGCGACGTACAAAGCATCTGGAAAGCGAGCAAGTAAGTTTCTCAGTCAAGCTTATTATTAGAGTGAGAAAGACACTGTGACTGCAATGCTATCTATAACAGTCTCACTTCATCATATTTCTGTCTCGTCTACCACAGGTTGTGGAGGTCAGTTATCAGGAGCTCAGGGAAATTTTACATCACCAAACTATCCACGCCATTATCCAGTGAATGAGGTATGGTTACCTAGCTAGACATACTGACATTTCATGGCAGAAAGTTGGTTTTCAAATACCATAACTCTGTTTTAAAAAGCCACAACTGCATTTTCAAATGCCAGAACTCCGTTTTTAAATGCCCAGACTCCGAGTTTTCAAATGGCAGAACTTCCTTTTCAAATGGCAGAACTCTCTTTTCAAATGGTAGAACTCCCTTTTCAAATAGCAGAACTCCCTTTTCCGAAATAGTAGAACTCCCTTTTCAAATAGCAGAATTCTCTTTTCAAATAGCAGAATCCCTTTTTCAAATAGCAAAACTCCCTTTTCGAATGGCAAAACTCCCTTTTCAAACAGCAGAACTCCCTTTTCAAGAATAGCAGAACTCCCTTTTCAAATAGCAGAACTCCCTTTTCAAATAGCAGAACTCCCTTTTCAAATGGCAAAACTCCCTTTTCAAATAGCAGAACTCCCTTTTCAAATAGCAGAACTCTCTTTTTAAATAGCAGAACTTGGTTTTCAAATAGCAGAACTCCCTTTTTATATAGCAAAACTCCCTTTTCAAATAGCAGAACTCCCTTTTCAAATAGCAGAACTCCCTTTTTAAATAGCAGAACTTGGTTTTCAAATAGCAGAACTCCCTTTTTAAATAGCAGAACTCCCTTTTTAAATAGCAAAACTCCCTTTTCAATGCAGAACTCCCTTTTTAAATAGCAAAACTCCCTCTTCAAATAGCAGAACTTGGTATTCAAATGCGAGTACATTTTCAGACGCCAGAACTCGCTTTACAAATGCCAGAACGGCAGAACTCCTTTATCAAATGGCAGAACTTGGTTTTCCGTCAAACGCCAGAATTTCGTTTTCAAAGTATCCAGTATAAATAAAGTTAGTTTAATTTAGGTTTTCTCCTGTAGTAACACTGGATTAATAAGAGATGATCCTCACTGGACATCTAGGAAGAACAGTTTAGAACTGATAGAGTTATGCGATTCAATTGTCATTATATATGTCTTCAATTTAGATATGTGACTGGGAGATCACGGGTTCAGATGCAAACCTTTGGCTTGAGATATCATTCAAAGACTTCAACATTGACGACACAGTGGTGTGTTACTACAGCTACCTCATTGTCTACGACAGTATCCATGGTAACGAGATTGGTCGCTATTGTGGACGTTATGCACCTGCGCCGATCGTTATTCCAAGTCATGTAACCAACATTAGATTCGCCGCTTCGCAATCCTCCAGAGGGTTTGTGGCCGAGTGGAAAATGATTTCCCCGAACGCTGGGGCAAAGTAATGTCGAGAAATACATAAAGGTGAATTGAGACTTTAAATTAAAACACGTCAGATGTTGACAATAATTTGTGCCTGTTCACATGTAATGTTTTTCAGACGTAAAAACGCACAAGTTGTAACAAACCTGCGCAGACTTGTAGCAATGCTGTTCCAACAACTTGTCAACAGGATGTTTTCGCACTGCTTGTTCCCAGCTTGTTGACAACTTGCTACAAGGTTGAGCTCAACAGACTTGTTACAAGTTGTTCCAACAACTTGTTATTGTCTTGCAATTCAACAATTTGTCAACAAGTTGTGAGTGACAAACTTGTAGCAACTTGATAAAATAACAGCATTGTTACAACTTGTTGACAAGCTTGCTGCAAGCCTGCTGCAAACACATCTTGTTGACAAGTTGTGAGATTTTTACGTGTGTGATGTAAATCCACATTTATTTATTTATTTATTTATTTATTTAACTTTGCCAATAAACATTAAAACACAGAAAAAAACATATATGGACAATGGCAGGGAACACGCTACAGCTTACGCCAATTACAGCGGCCCTTACATATAAGATACGACATCACAAACATTAAACTATTGTCTAATAACAACACGATACTTCACAGGACAGATTACGGGACTTGTTACAGGACAAACATATTGATTTCCATATTGATTTGCCGTGTACCGTGAAATTATAACATGATTCTTCGTTTTTTTCAGATTTTGACGTCTCAAAATCCAAGAAAAGACACCTTAAAATGATACTAGACCTTCATTACTACACATTTAGATATTTGGTTTTAGTAACATAGCATTAAAAAAACTTCAAAGTTTTCATCTGTTGCTGTCTGCTTTTAAAAAACCTCTGGGGAAACCATAGGGGAAACCAGCAAAAATTACTTCCAACCATGTTTAATTTATGGCAAAATTTGTTTCCGGCGTTTTTATTCGTACGACTTGAAACGAACCAATCAGGTTGTACAATTTTAAACCAATCACATCACTTTACGAAGCGCGCTAAAAAAATAATGACAACATTTTCTGTCTAACACCCCCCCCCCATTTTCCTGAGAAACCTGCCCCCCGTATTACAACATAAATATTCCAAAATTCAAAATTTTGGAATCCAATATGGCGACGGGTAGGAGTCGTTCTCGTCCAAATATTTTGATCACTGGAACACCAGGAACAGGGAAGACGGTGCTGGGAATGGAGTTGTCGAAAAGAACAGGCATGAATTATATAAATGTCGGAGAGTTTGCTAAAGAAAATAATTTTTACGAAGGTTGGGACGAGGAGAGACAGTGCCACGTGCTTGCCGAAGATAGTGTAGGTTCATTTGTTTACAATTTTAGATTTGTATTTTGTACATGGTATACAAGAATTAGGATTTGAGCGATTATTTTTATATACACAATAAGCAGTACAGCAATATTTATCCACAACTTGAATAGTGGTTGGTTTGCTAACCAAGATCTTTATGAAATTCACTCGAATATTTCTTAAATCCTGTCATTTTCCTACTTGTTTATATAATTCCTGTTGGGGGCCAAATATCTGTGGAAATAGAAAATACTTTTCACACACTTCTGAGGGATGTTGGCATGTTGCCCACACAAGCTTGACCTTTAATGAACAAAAATATCTTGTATTTACATTAATAAATTGATATGTACAAATTACTGCATCTCGAACTATTATGGGTCACGTCCATATTCATGTTGCCAGGCATAACATCGAATCGACGTTATCACCAGTACCCACCCACCCACTTCAGATAACGTCAATCGTTATTCGTTACCCTGTCGTATTTTGACCGCAAAAAGATCTCAAAATCAAAATGGCAACTGAAATATGGTATATAATCAATCAATTTATCTCAGAAATGCATTAAAGTGAGTGGATGGGTAGGTGGGTCGGACACAGGTCAGGCTAGCACAAGGCAAGCAAAAAAGTCTCGATGATCTGGACCCTACCCTTGGCAGCAGTGTGTGAGAAAAAATTTTCTGTCTCTTCCATTCCTCAGCCGGCAGAATATAAGATGTCTCGATGTTTGAGCAAATGCTGCATTGTAATTAAGTGAACTAAATATTCTTGCAATGTGAAATGACTTTGCAAAAGCATATTTGACTGTGATGGTAAAATGTTTCTGTGCTAATTCTTGTATTGAGATTTGCACGTACACATGGACTGAAGCAATGATTGTCCTGATGTAAGAGTTGAAAATAATGCTTGCAGGTTTTAGACGAGCTGGAAGATGTAATGTCCGAAGGCGGGAATATTATTGACTATCATGGTTGCGAATTCTTTCCTGAGAGATGGTTTGACATTGTCTTTGTTTTAAGAACAGATAACACACTTTTGTACAACAGATTAGAAAAAAGGTAGGTAGCTGAGTTATAGTCAACACTGTTGTTGCCATTTGTATCAAAAGATGAAAGTATGTTAAGCTTCCATATTTGCAACAAAGCATGTTACACACGTAAAAATCTCGCAACTTGTCAACAAGATACATGTGTTCAACAAGACAACTTGTGGAGAAATTTTTGAATTGCAGGACGATAACAAGTTGTTGGAACAACTTGCAACAAGTCTGTTGAGCTCAACAACCTTGTGGCAAGTTGCCAACAAGCCGTTGATAACTTGTCAACAAGCTGGGAACAAGCAGTGCAAACACATCCTGTTGACAAGTTGTTGGAACAGCATTGCTACAAGTCTGCTGCAGGTTTGTTACAACTTGTCCGCTTTTTAATATGTGACAGTGTAGTTGAACATGTTTTGCTGAGATCAAAACCTATCAAAGATGTTTTCAAGAATCTTTAAATTGTTAATTCACATGCACAGAATTCACCACACCATGAATGCAAGAGGTGTATACCACCAGAAATTTGAAGTATTTAAAACAGTTCTTGTGTCTAGGGAGTATCCAGAGAAAAAAATTCAAGAAAATGTTGAATGTGAAATATTTCAAACAATCTTGGAGGAAGCGAAGGAAAGTTATTCGGCAGACATTGTTCACGAGTGTCAAAGCAACACACCCGAGGAAATGGAGACAAATTTGGATAATATTCAGAGATGGCTACAACAGTGGCCCGGTTAATAATGCATAGTGTCTCTATTTTGTTATTGTTGCGAAGGGATTACAAATTGAAGTGTTGCTATGTAAGTTGTACCTCACTGAATACAACTAGCTGGGTTTCTGGTGCGATATCTTAACATGCAATAACGCATTCGTAGTTGTCTTCAGTGAATATAATAAAGTGTCAAAGTCTGAAAACTGTGAGCATTTACACTAAGTGAAATGCTACACAAAAATTCATTCACAATATAAAACAGATTTTTAAAACTGAAATTTTATTAACAAGAACTATAAATACAACAATATACTATTAATAATTATGTATTTATTGTTTTAACCATATACTGTATATTGCAAAAAACAGCATACCAAGATATGTCCACTTATATTATCATGTTTCTTTTTGCACAGTATCACAACAACTGTATATTATTCAGTTATAGAGTTATCTACATCCATTTGTTCTGTGCTTGCTTCCTCTGTTATTGTATCTTCAGTACCTGAGGGGTCTTTTGGCAAGTCTACATGCTGTGTTGTAAGTGAAGAACTATTTATGTCTGACTCAGCAGTTGTATTGTCAGGATTTGGATCTGTTTCATGTCTATCATTCTCCAACATTTCTGTATTATTTTCTTGGTCTTCTACTACTTCAGTTTTCCTTGTATTTAGTTCATTGTTCGTATCAACAGACAAGGAGGAATCTGGCCTCGGAGGATTTAGGTCAAATGCACTTCTGTTAAGAATTTCGTCATCCTCATCTGATGTCTCATCATCGTTCTCTTCTGGTTCTCGTTCATGATCATTGTTCATGTTTGATGTCTGGGATGAATCGTCCCTTTCAGATACATTATTGTGACTTACAACATCGCTGTCATTCTCTGGAATATTGGTGAGGCCAGCTTCATTATTGATGTCATTTTCTGAAATATTGGCGAGCCCAGCTTCATTATTGCTGTTATTTTCTGAAATATTGGTCAGGCGAGGTTCATCATTGCTGTTATTTTCTGGAATGTCGATCAGGTCAGCTTCATCAGTCATGTCATTTTCTGGAATATTGGTCAGACCAGCTTCATCAGTCTTGTCATTTTCTGGAATATTGGTGAGGTCAGCCTCAACATTGCTGTCATTTTCTGGTATGTTAGTCAGGTCAGTTTCATCATTGATATTGTCCATGCTGTCATTCTGGTTGCCATTTGTATCTCCATGGATTTCGTCAGGTACCATATCCGCGAGGGTTTCGTCTGGTGCTGTATTCTCAGAACCAACATTTGTCAAACTGGGTTGTTCAGAAGAGGAATTCTCCTCATTGGTTTCCTGTTCAGCATTTGTTGAACCATCTTCCAACTGAGATTCTAAAAGATAAAAAAGAATTATAAGTTGCTATAGTCCTTGCATTGCAGTCCTCTGCTTGTCATTCTGATCAGCCAACTGTGAATTGTTAGTAAGATATTTTGTGAGACATCAGTTTTATCATTTGTCACTTATCAATTACAGTCGATTTCACTTTGTTCTGAAGTTCATAATAATATTCACAAAACAGTTTGTAAACTTAAGGATCAATCAAAGGCTTTGTTTACAAACCGGCTTGAGAATTTCAGTATGAACTTTTGAACTTCACAACGAAGTTCGGAATATATTGGCAAAAGTTATATTTGAAATCGACTGAAATATTCTCGCAGTTGTCACTCAAGTCAGTAACAAGTCAGTCCAACTGCAACTAACGTGTTTGACTCTCTTCTTCTAATCTTCTTCTCTTCGCTTGACGTTTTTCAAAAGCGAGCACTCTGTTCCTCCTTATTCTTTCACGCTGTTCTTCAGTGAGTTCAACCGGAGGTCTCTCGTCTTGGGGAGCCTTGAAAACAAGAGTTAAATGTTTTAACTAGCTTGTTGTGCAAACGACAAAGTATAAAAAACCCTTACGTCTTGTTCACTTGCAGCTTCTGTTGAATTTTCGTCATTTGTTGCATCAGCTTGTCCTTGAAAGAGAAATTTTTTGTTGTTGAATGTTTGAATACTGTAGTATGAGCTATGAAGAGCCGAGTGATATGACAAACAGAGAAGAAAATATAAGAATTCCCCTTGTACCAGCTGTTCCTTCTGCGTCATCTTCCGGTTCTCCTCTCAAAACCTCCTCTTCTTCATTTCTTCTTATTCGCTTCAGTTCATTCTGAAACGTTCAATTTTTAAAGTATATACTAATTTCATTGTAATTTGTATATTGGGGTACTCCTGTTTCCTCCTATAGTAACACTGGATCAATAAATTAAAAGATGATCCTTACTGGACCTCTAGGAAGAATAGTTTAGAACTGATAGAGCTATCCAGTAATAATAAAGGTAGTTTAGTTTAGTTTAGGTTTCTTCCTGTAGTAACACTGAATCAATAAGAGATGATCCTTACTGGACCTCCAGATAAAACAGTTTATCTATCCAGTATAAATTAAACAATTTATCTTAGGCTAGCCTTCGATCACGAAGAATCATGCATTATTGTCAAAAACCATACCCTAGCTCTGGATTGTGAACCAAGCACTTCACATTTTTGAACAACATTGTCAAAAGGCCATCTTGGCATGAGACATTGTGCCCAGTGCTCAAATCTGTGTAGAAGTTTGTTCAGATCCGATGCCTAGTAAAACAGTGGAATTGTAGTACATGTATTAAAATTTGTGCTGGTGCTAATAGCGCTGGTACATTTGCTCTTGGTCATATTTTGGTGGTACTCAGTTTTGCCATACCTCGTGCCCCTTTCCTTTAAAGTGCTCGTCGGAGCATAAATTTTTCAAAGCTTCAATACCTTTCTTGGAACATAATCTATAATTGTCACAATAAAGCAGAAGTCGGACAAATGTCTTGGCATGGTCGCTGATAATGCTTAGCACATGTGCCTTTCACTGCTACAACTGCAGTTCAACACACGCTTCTGGAAAGTATGTCAACTTGACTATACAGCCTCGTTTTCATGATTGAGACATTGGGCTTTATGTTATGCATACAAAAATGAGGTTTACAGCCAAAGTGACAGACATTGTGGAAGGGTGAATTCCTGCAGTATTGACAATATGCAGTTGTCTGATTATAATTTTGCTCAGTTTCATGTGAGAAGAGCAGAGGCACTGGAATATCGATAATTGGGCTGATATTCATATATTCGTGTCCTGGCCAATTAATTTCTTTTGAAATCGATTGTTTTTACAGTCTGTGATTACGAATATATGAATATCTGCCCCCACTATTATCGATATTCCGGCGCCTCTGGAGAAGAGTGCTTCCAGTTTTATTGGGTACTACATTTTCCTCCTGTAGTAACACTGGATCAATAAGAGATGATCCTTGATAGAGCTATCCAGTGTAAATAAAGTTAGTTTAGTTTAGGTTTCCTCCTGTAGTAACACTGGATCAATAAAAGATGATCCTTACTGGACCTCTAGGAAGAACAGTTTAGAAGTGATAGAGCTATCCAGTATAAAGTTAGCTTAGGTTTCCTCCTGTAGTAACACTGGATCAATAAAAGATGATCCTTACTGGACCTCTAGGAAGAACAGTTTAGAAGTGATAGAGCTATCCAGTATAAAGTTAGCTTAGGTTTCCTCCTGTAGTAACACTGGATCAATAAAAGATGATCCTTACTGGACCTCTAGGAAGAACAGTTTAGAAGTGATAGAGCTATCCAGTATAAAGTTAGCTTAGGTTTCCTCCTGTAGTAACACTGGATCAATAAAAGATGATCCTTACTGGACCTCTAGGAAGAACAGTTTAGAAGTGATAGAGCTATCCAGTATAAAGTTAGCTTAGGTTTCCTCCTGTAGTAACACTGGATCAATAAAAGATGATCCTTACTGGACCTCTAGGAAGAACAGTTTAGAAGTGATAGAGCTATCCAGTATAAAGTTAGCTTAGGTTTCCTCCTGTAGTAACACTGGATCAATAAAAGATGATCCTTACTGGACCTCTAGGAAGAACAGTTTAGAAGTGATAGAGCTATCCAGTATA